GGGGTGGTGGTTCTTGACATAGATTCTGAACCCACATAACCATCGACTGCATTGTTATCGGCACCTTTTCCTTCTCAGGCTTCAGGCGTAGACTGGCTGGGAGTGAGGCCCTTAAGCCTGCATTTTTTAACAGCCAGATCTGGGATACATGCATGAAGTGGACAACGGCACCGCGGGGCTCTGGTAACTCCCTGTTTCAGTCTCCCCACCGTCTTCCCTGGGACCGGGCAGCCCTGTGTCCTCGCGCCCTCCCCAGCAGCTGCACTTGTTGCTGCTTTACCTCTTCTTGGACAGCGGAGAGGACACAAGAGTACCCCCTTGGATCCAAATCAGCCTACGTCCCATGGAGAAGTCCATGTGGCCAGAACCCTCCAGAACCACAGTCTAAAACCAATGGACTAACCTCAATATTTGAAAAGTCTCTAATACGTCACAACAGAAGGCGACGGCATAATCAAAACTGCCATGTTTAAGCATGAAATTAATTTTTAGATGCTTACCTCAACACACAAAGAATTTTTTCCAGGTGTTTCACGTCTGAACACTGTTCAATATACTTGAAATCCAAGTGCTCAACAGGAATTTTAAATGTCTTTGTTGTTCCGAAGCCCCACAACGATGGGCAATCCTTAGCTGCCATGGCTTAAACACAGTAGAAGAAAATTGATGTATGTATAATAATTAGCTCGATTTGGGTATCAGGGATCGCCTAGTGCTCCCAGAGGAAAAGGGGTGGAGGTGTTTTGAACCCTGAGTCCAGCTATCCCTCAGGAGTTTGCCATCTCAGCCTTCCCCTTAAACAAGGCTGGAACAGAATGGCAGAGGGGGTTCTGGTGCATCAACTACGCTTTATTAAAAAAATTAAATCTGATACTGCACATATAATAAGTAAATAAATCTTTAAAAAATTAAATCTGAAGACTTTCTTGATGAACTAGAGCTATGTTCCCGGCATGAAATGAAGCGGTCACCAATGTAAAGCAAGGGCTTCTTGACCCCTACCGCACAGACAACCGACAGAGCCTCCAGCAACAAAGTCGCATGTTTTAAGAGCTTGACATGTCATAGTCACAGATTTTAAACTTTGTGTGCGGCTGGAGAGCTGGGCCAGTGGCTAAGAGCAGAGGACCTGGTTTTGATTCCCAACACCTACACCAGGCTCACAGCAACTCCTTCTGAATGACCCGGAGCTCTCGTCTGGCCTCTGTGTGACGCAAACATACATGCAGGCAAGACATCTACATTCATAAGATAATAGTTTATTTTAAAAATAAAACCTATTCAGTGCTTTTCTCAAACTTAAAAATCTAAATAATAAAAAAAAATAAGGCAGGGCCAGGTGTGGTGGCACGTGCCTTTAATCCCAGCAGCATTGGGAACAGGTGGGTCTCTAGGAGTTCTAGGCTAGCATGGTCTAGGCTACCCTGTCTCTGAGTAAATAAAGAAATGGCATTCATTATTTGAAAAGCTTTCAAATTTACAAAATATGTCTGTCATAATAACTTTACACTAATATGTTTACATAATAACATAGATGGGGGGGGATAAAAACCAAAGCAGCTTGCCAAAAGCAAGTTGGGAAGGAAAGGAATTTGTTTCATTTTACATCTTACAGTTCCTCACTAAGGATGAGTCAGGACAGGAACTCATGCCAGGACCTGAGGCAGGAACTAGAGCAGGGGCCATGGAGGAGGGCCGCTTACTGGCTTGCTCCCACGGCTCCAGTTCAGCAACCTTTCCTAGACCTCCCAGGAGCACCCACAGTGGGTTAGGCCCTCCAACATCAATCAGTAATCAAGGAAATATCCCACAGACTTGCCAATCTGATGAAGGCAATTCCTAATTCCAATTCTCTCTTTGAAGATGACCCCAGTTTTTGCCAAGTTGACAAAAACAAGCAAACAAAACAACAACTAACCAGCACAGACAGCTCAAATAACAAACTTCTGTGGCAACAGTTTAGTTCACACCGTGCAGTAAGAAGCCAACTATCAAGATTCACAAGCTTCTTCAAGTTCTGCTGAAATAGCTTTCTTTTCTCTTTCTCTGTGTGTGTGTGTGTGTGTGTGTGTGTGTGTGTGTGTGTGTGTGTGTGTAGAATCCTTAAATCCTTAAACCTGTGGCAAATAAAAATGTGATCTTTTCAGCCAGGCAGTGGTGGTGCACACCTTTAATCCCAGCTCTCAGGAGGCAGAGGTAGGCGATTCTCTGTGAGTTCGAGGCCAGCCTGGTCTATAGAGCTAGTTCCAGACAGCCAACGCTGTTACACAGAGAAACCCTGTCTCGAAAAATCAAAAGAAAAAAAGATTATCGCACGTTAGCTGGGAGTGGCGTAGTGGGAGTGGCCCACTTGGGAGGGCCAGGAGTTCAAGATCACCCTCAGCTACTTAACATAGCCAGGCTGAGCTCCACGAGATTCTGTATATCTATTATATAACTCAACTTTAATCCTCAACTCCCAAAGGGTGGTTTATGCATTTCCCCCATACTTCTTTGCAATCTAATGCTTGCTCCATCATCCCGCTCCACATCCACTTCCCATATTTCCTAATCAGCGCATTAACTAACTCCTGTGTGCAAGCTGCAGCGTTTCGTGGTAACCCCAGTAACGGGAAAACCCAGCTTCTCCCACCTAGGCGGCTGGGCGCCCTCTGCTCCAGAAAGGCGAACTGGCGTCCCTCAGCCATGGCAACGGTTTCCAGGACCCACAGGCTCCCCGCTTGGGAGTGGGAACCGTCTGGGGCGCCCGGGAGCTCGTTCTAAAGCCAACCTGCAAGCGTCTGTGTCGGGAGTCGTTCCCTAGGCTTGGGCTGTGGTCTCCAGGGCTGAAGCAGTTGGCTGTCCCAGGAACTCCAGTGTGGCGACTCGGCCCCAACTTCCACCACCGTGCGAACCGCAGGGTCTGAAAAGTTCCAATCCTTCCCAGACCGGAAAGGACGTTCATCCGACAGCACGCTCTAGCCGTGCGAGCGTGCCTGTGCGGTCCTCGCTTGGCGCCCGCCCCGAGGATGCCCACCTGTGTCTCACCCTCTGCCCAGCTAGCGACGGAGTGGGGGCAGGTGCCCAACGAAGCTGGGCGGAGGCTAAGCCCTCCGCCGGCCATTGGCTATCCAGGCTGTCCACCTGCTGATTGGCCAGCTTCTGCCCTCACCAGGGCCCTCCTTCGGTTTAGTGTTTCCTAGTGAGTTAAAATGCTTGTTTCACTCCTGCTAAGTGGTGTCTACTCCTATACGTAACTGTAAACCTAGACTAAAATTCCAGATTGGGCGTTGCACCCCAGGTTTATTTACCTACTGTCCTTTCAACGAGAATAAATGAAAAGCAAATTTCCCTTTTCTCATGCAGCCCACAGGCGCCCACCCCACTGTGTGCTGTATACAAAAATATGATTAGGTATAAGCAATTCAAATGAACACGAGATACCATTTTTGGAGAAATTTACTTCCATTTTAAATACATTTCAGACTAGTTAAAACAGATGAAGGAAGCAGCTGGCGTATGCCCAGCCGGTACCAGAATCCCATACATTCTCCTCCTCTTTGTGTTTAAGGAGACAAGTCTGGGGCAGGGGCATTAAGAGTGAACGATAAAGAACGACGCTCAAGCTCTTACATTTACGCAGCATGTTTATAGATGAAGACTCAAACGTTAGGGTAATCCTTGGGCTGTTTCTCCAAGTTTGTTGTGGAAATGGCATCATAAGCTCCATGTGTCTCAGACGTCACACCTCCTTCCAGCCATGATGCGTGTCTCAAGCAACCACCTGAACTTCCACGTCATTGATTTCCAGCGGAGAAAGAAACCGTAACAACCTGGAGAATGGCTCTCATTCCGTGGGCTTTGTCACTTTCTTTCTACATTTAATGCTTTCTTTTGACTGTGTACAATCTATGCTGTATTGAAAACGGTCAAAACAATCTGAAAAAAACACGGTGGGCAAGTGAGAAAGTACCAGTCCTCACAGAGTAAGTCCTGCAATTGATCAACAAAGGTAAAAGAAGGCCTGGTCAGGGTCACACAGCCAGCTCATGAGGGTGTTCTGGGCACTTGGGTCCAAAGATGGATACCACAGGCCATTCTACTTACTGAACTTACACAGCAAAGGTACGTAAAGCTGGGCCAGACGGTGTAGATCTGTATTCCCAGCTATGCGGGAGACTGAGGCAGGATCACAAGGTCAAGACCAGGTGACAAGCCCAGCCAATTTAGTGAGACACAAAGTAGAATAATGATGGCTGGAGACAGAGCTCTGCGGTGGGGCCCTCTGCACTAGCAGTCTCGGAGGCCTCAAACCAGCTATGTGGTCAAAGACGACCTTAAACTCCTGCTAAATCCTCCTGCCCCCACCTCCCAAGCACGGGCAACAGAGGGATCAGAGCTCCACAGCAGCCAGCTCCGAGAATCTTTCGTGGTCTGAGGACTATGTGTACCTGTGTATGTGAGCAGAGCTCTCAAAAGCATGACTTCAGAGTGTATGCATGGGTGGGTGTGAGATACCCAGCCGGCGGTGTCCGATGCCCTGGACTGGAGTTATGGCTGTGGGTAGACAAACATGGTTGCTGAGAACAGAGCTGGGGCCTCTGCAAACACAAGTGCTCTCAACCCCTGAGTCAGCGCTCTGGCCCAGCCACCTCATTTATCCTATTTGCTTCTAATGTTTCATACTAATTTTGACTTTTTCCAGACGGCAAGTACAGTGGTGCTCTGGACGGCTGCAAACAAAGCAGAGTGGTTTCCAAGGCGCTAATTTCTCAGGCCTTTAGAAGATGGTTCTAAAAGACTGCACTTAGGATTTTCCTAAGGCATTTTATTATTTTCTGTGTAAGCACATACACACATGCTCAAGTCAATGCATGTGGAGGTCAGAGGGCAGACAAGTTTTAGAAGCTGGCCTTCTTCCCACCATGTAGGCTCCAGGGCCTGAACTCAAGCCCCCTGGGTAGGTGGAAGCAGCAGCTCGATGGCCTGAAACTTGACTCTTTAACAAGACTGAACGAAAGTGAGGTTTGGGGAAACAACTTTAATCTTCATTGTGTGAGAGATTATAGGCACAATAAATTAAAAGTCGTATGCTAAACCAAAACTTCCTTTATACAAGTATTAAAATACAATCATGTTTCTAAAGTGAAACCACAGGTACACAGTTGTAGTCGTAAAGCTACACAGAGAAGCATCAGTGGGGCAAATGTTGAACGAAGACACTCCTGAATTTCACGTTTTCACCGGGCATCGAAAACCACCACTGTTGAACTGAGTTAAGGATTTTAAAATTACGCAATACTAAGGCTTCCAAGTCACCACCTCTGCACCAAGCTTCTATTTAATATAAAATGAACAAAAGAATGAACTTCATTATAGCCACCAGCGAGTACCTAAAAAATAAAGAACAGCACCTCCATTTCCATTAGTTCATGTTTCACGACACAGAAGATAACTAAAAACACTGACGCCCTTGAGGGTGACTTTTAAGAGTCTGTGCCAGCTACAATGAAATACTTTGCTTTCAATATTAGACTATTGTAGGCCTCACCATCTTCCACTAGGTTATCAAATCTTCTAGACTTCAGATCACCCATAAACTGACAATCAAGAATGACTATTTCTAAAAACAAACAAATAAGAATATTTATATATTCAAGCTTTTGAATTACTTAGAGCCCATAATGAATGGCACATGAAAACGCTAATCATGTTTACTTTAAAAAATAAAAATCTACAGTTATTCACTGGGTTTTAAAGACACATTTATTTATGCTTACTTTATGCATATGAGCGCTTCTGCATGCATGCATATGTGTGCGCCATTTGGGTCCCTTGTACAGTGGAGGTAAGAGAAAGGGATCAGACCCCTGGAAACGGAGTTACAGACAGTCACAGCAATCTTGTTGATGGTGGAAACAGAACCAGACCCTTTGGAAGAGCAGCCAATGCCCTTATCTGCTGACCCATCTCTCTAAACCTTATTGGCTTATTTGAGACTGGTCTCACCAAGTAGCTCTAGCTGACCTGGAACTCAAAAAGTTCTGCCTGTCTCTGCCCCCTAAGTTTGGGGTAAAATAAACCCTATTAAAATAATCAATTGATACACCTCCTCTGAAGCCCCCCATGTTTTCAGTTCTCTCATCCTTTTTAAACCCATGCTCCTAAAAAAATAATCCAAGTTATTACTACTCCGTCAGAATTTAGTCTTCACCAACCCAAACAGTATTATTTCCTCTTTCCATTTAGCCAGCACAGTCAAAAGGATACATCTTTTAGTCCTTTTCTTGTACATTATTCTGTATCCACATTCTCTGCATCTGATTGGATCTCTGGACTTTATCTCATTTTCGGTGTGACACTCTAGGAAATAAAACACGTTTATTCAATGCCCGAAAGAGAAACACTACAGGGAAGCAAATATAACCACAGATGTCACCAGGAGCAAGTCAGAGCACCGAAGCAGCCGTGTGCCTGTCTGTGCCTGAACAGACTAAGGAGGAGAGAAAGGAGTTGTCAGCGGTGTACCCCTTCCTGAAAAGTCAATTTTTTTTAATTTAATAGAATTTTTTTTTTTCGAGACAGGGTTTCTCTTGGAGCCTGTCCTGGAACTAGCTCTTGTAGACCAGGTTGGTCTCGAACTCACAGAGATCCGCCTGCCTCTGCCTCCCAAGTGCTGGGATTAAAGGCGTGCACCACCACCGCCCGGCTCTGTGCAAACCGACCCGTGTAATTTTTTAAACATTTCTTTAAAAAAAAAAAGATTTATTTATCTATCTATCTATTTATTATGATCTATCTATCTATTTATTTATTTATTATGTAGGCAGTGTTCTGGGGCACAAGATCTCATTACAGAAGGTGTGAGCCATCATGTGGTTGCTGGGAATTGAACCCAAGACCTCAGGAAGAGTAGTCAGTACTCTTAACCTCTGAGCCACGTCTCCAGCACCCCCCTTTTCATTTTACATATGAATCCCAGTTCCCTCTCCCTCCTCTCCTCTTGCCCCACTCACCATCCATTCCTCCCATGGGGAGTCAACAAAGTCTGTCACATCACTTGACGCAGGACCAAGGCTCTCCTCCCTGTAGCCCTGTAGCTAGGCTGAGCAAGGTATCCCTCCATAAATAATGGGCTCCAAAAAGCCGGATGTCGCAGTGGGAATAAATACTGGTTTCATGGCCAGCGCCCCACAAACTGCCCAAGCTCCATTACTGTCGCCCACATTAAGAGGGCCTCATTCGGTCCTATGCAGGTTCCCCGGATGTCAGTTCAGAGTCCATGAGCGCCCCCAAGCTCGGGTTGTTTCCCCGTCATGGGAAAAGACGAAATCATAATGAGGGATTTTTTACATTAACGACTGCAGAGGTGCTGCAGGTGAACTCACAACGATCCGCCTGCCTCTGCCTCCAAGTGCTGGGATTAAAGGCATGCACCACCGCCTGGCTAGAGTGCTAGCTCCACTTTATAATTTAAACATCAGTACTCAGTAAGGAAAGTTTAAGTAACTTACTTAAACCGGGTGGTGGTGGCGCACGCCTTTAATCCCAGCACTCGGGAGGCAGAGGCAGGCGGATCTCTGTGAGTTCGAGGCCAGCCTGGTCTACAAGAGCTAGTTCCAGGACAGGAACCAAAAGCTACGGAGAAACCCTGTCTCGAAAAAAAAAAAAAATTACTTAAACATTACTCTTACCTCCACAAATATATATCATAGGCTGCTGCTTTGGGGGTTGGACGTCTTTCTGGGTATCCATTGTTAGTGCCTGAAATCAGAGTCAAAGCCTGAATTAACGGAGCCTTTGCACAGAACCAACCTGGTCCCGTTTTCCCAGAAGCTAAACAAGTTTCTGATTCCCGGGATGAAGAGAAAAACTCGTGAGTAGAATGTCTGCCCAGAATGCAGAGGCTCGAGGATCAAACCCCAGTATTCAGGAAGGGGAAATCGTAATCCTTTATTTGTTCTTGCCCCACAAACTGTGGGCTGGGTCTGAAGGCTGAGACACCCTCTCAACAACATTACACACATTATGAGTGTTTACTACACTCTCCAAGATCCTAGACGGTATACTCTTAACACGCGGACAAACTGAGGCTAAGCACAGGCCTGTGAGCCCAATATCACCCCACTACTGAGAAGCAAAAGGATTCAGACCTGAGCTGGGAGCAGCGACTCCACCAACGCCTCTGCCAACATTAACTCCACCGGGGATCTTCTCATTAACCATTTATTGACGTATTTGGTCTCTGAGAGAATCTCAGCTCCGTAGCTCAGGGTGTCGGTGGAAGGCGGCATTCCCCGCCTCTGCTTCCCAACGCTCAGGCGGCAGGCGCGAGCCTTCTCTCCCGGCCACCCCGGAACTTTCTAAGACCAAGCGTCTCTCCAGCTTTTGCCCCCCAGATCCACTTCCGAAATCCTCAGCCGACAATCTCTTACCTCGGCAGCTCAAACAAGCTCTGTGCACGCAAAACCTTTCCCGGGTCCTCGGAAGCAGTCACAACCTGCGTCGTCTCGGCAACTTCCGGCGCCGTCTCTCCAGCTTCGGCGCTGCCTTATGACGCGCTGGAGCCCCGCCCCCTGCTCGCAGTGCCGTGAGCCGGTATCCTGAGCCCGGTTGTCGTGTTTCGCTCCTGTTTGATTCCCGTGGGTTTGTTTGCCTCTCTCCCCGGCAGACGAAACATTTCCGCGGCTCGGCAGTCGCAGGTGCGTGCTTCTCCAAGGGCCGTGGAGCAGGAGCCCGGGACAGGCGCTGTGGAATCTTAAGGAGCCCATTGCTCGGGTCAACACGACCGTGCAAGCCCGCCGGTAATTCTCACGAGTTCAAGACGCTGCTGCACTGCGGGTTTCAAATTGTTCAGTATCTGTGCGGCTGGGTTTTGTTTTGTCCGTTTTGTTCTTCAATTTCCAGCTCTCCCCTAGGCTCCTGTCACCCCTCTTTCCCACTCTGTTTTGGGGAGGGCAAAGATAGGGAAAGAGGAGGTCCGAGGCATGGTGTTCTGTGTTGCCCAGGCCGGCCTGAAACCCGCGCGGTCCTCTGCCTTTGCCTCCTCGGTGCAAACCACAGCTCCTGTCATCTCCCTCCCTTTTCGAAGGAAAGGCTTTCAGACGGGCAGCGCCATCAATTACTCCCACCCGTCTAGTAGTATCTTCCCTCCTGTGTTTGTTCACACAAGAAAAAAGGTGGGGAGTATGTGCGCTCTCAGAGATCAAAAGTTTAATTCAGTCAAACACACATGTTGAGTTCGGGTCATTTACATTCATTCCGTTCTTTTGCATCCGTCATTTATATTAAATAACGCTGGCGAAAGCAACGTTATTAAATGGTTGTCAGTTATTAAAAATTAAAGAAACAGGTTCTCTCCCAAGACACATCCATAGTAGTTCACACTGGTGCTACTTCCCAACCCAGCGCTCTGTCGGCATCACTGTGGAACACACCCCACAGATACTAGCCACCCCGTTTTCAATGACGACGTTAACTGAGCACTCACCGAGTGCCAGAAATCACTGCTCACTCTCTCCTAGTGAAGGTGGCTGCCCTGCCATCCTGAGGCCTTTAACCCTTTGTGTTGTGATGAAACAAGGCGCCATTCCCTTGAACCTCTGAATTTCTTTTATGCTTGATAATAGCATTTTCTGCGTAGCTTGACTGTTGAGGTCATTGGGGAAAAAACTCATGGCATTTTATTGAACGAGCCTCAAAAGGAAATTAGATCTGGTGGGAAACAAGTAAGTAGAATTCTATCATGGGAGTCTGAGCCAAGAAAAGGAAGCAAAGAAGCAAAAGAGTGTGGTAGATAAAGGTATAACAGGACCAGCAGCTTGCTATGTAGGCAAGAATGACCTTGTACTTCCAACCTTCTGTCCCCACCTCCCATGTTCTGGGGAATAAAGGGACCGCCATGCCTGGTTCTGGTGAGTTCATTTTTCTTCACTTGTAATAAAACATCTCCTGAAAAATAATAAGTGTCTTTAAATTTGAACAATGGCAACCCAGTGGTTAGTTGGATATTTTTAGCCATAAGTCAGAAGTTCTTCCTGGTTTGGATTGGGGTGGAGAAGTTAATAAGTGGATTACACCCTTTTCAAAGGCGAGTATGAACGAAATCCACAGCTACCGTAAATTAGGCAGTCGGGTTTCCCACGTTTGGGGAAATCGCTGGTATCTGCACACTTCGAAGGCAGTGTGTAATCCTCACCCCTGGGGAAACCATCTTCGTGACTGTAACATCTCCTCTGCCAGATAAGTTTGTCTAGTTAGAGTTTCTGTTGTGAAGAAATATCACAATCACAGCAATGCTTATAAAAGAAAACATTTAATTGGGGTAGATTACAGTTCAGAGGATTTATCCCTTATCGTCATGGTGTGACGTAGTGCTGGAGAAGGAGCTAAGAGTCCAGTAGGAAGGGAGGGCAACAGGAAGTGTACTGTGACACTGGGTATGGCTTGAGCCTATGAGACATCCAAGACCACCTCCACAGTGACACACCTCCAATAAGACCACACCTCCTAATAGTGTCATTCTCGATGAGCTTATGGGGGCAATAACAGTCAAGCTATGACATCATTGCATTTGTTTGCGGGGGGGGGGGGGGCAGCGCACTCACGCATCCTAAACTGATTTCACCTCTACCCAGCTGATGACGAATTTACAGTCCTCCTGCCTCCACCTTCCAGATGCTGAGATTCCAGCTGGGCTGCCACCAGGCTGGTGTATGTTGGGCTCAGTCAGGGCTTCATGCATGCACAGACACTCCAACTGAGCTCCATCCCCCCACTCCAGATAACTGACTTTTAGAAGAAGATGCAGGGTCAATGCTGCAGAGGGGAGGAGTGTCATGACTAGCGAAGACTCATTTGAGGAGATGGGAGAGTACCAGTGACTGTATGTGGGAGTGTGGGGCACATCAGTCAAGTGCCATGCATCACAAGTTTATCAGGTGCCTCCCCCCGAAGGCAGTTCTGTTACCCCCTCAGCCTTGTCCCCCATGCTGTCGATTCTGCCACTGAGCATGTTGGTCCAGGTTGTTCCCTCCCCCACTAGCTGTCTTCCAGAGTAGCACAGTAGCCCTCTGCCGCCTCCTTGCCGCCACCCTCACTTCTGCTCATTCTGTCCTCCATCCTCTACGCACCAGTCAGGTCGCTCAGAGTCCCCAGAGGAAAGGACCCTCTGTGATAGTCTGTAAGGAGTGATTGACAGCTTCCTGCTCTTGCATGTTACGTTTGGAATTGCCTGTTGTCTGCCTCTTAATTGTTAGCCACCCATCAAAATCCACCTTACCTCATGGTGCAAACAAGTCAGCCCTGCACTCTCTCCTTGAGGGGAGTTAGTTGGTTCTTTATGCCACCCCATTGCAGTACTGTCCTGCAGTTACCAGGAGGGCGGCTGGATCTTCTTGCTCTACCCAGATGGAAAGACCAGCCTGCCAAGTGTTGGCCTTTGCAGCATTTTTCTCCCCAGACCTCAGCAGCAGCAGCAGCAAGTGCTCCCCCTCCAGTTCTGGCTGTCCTGCAAGCCTTGTGGAGCCTCACCCTTTGCTCTTTGGCCCTTACAAAGCCAAGGGTACCAGGACCATCAGTCATGTCTACAAATGTTACAACTCGTGCTGAGGACTAGGAAGTCTGGTCTCCTTAGCTCCTGACAGGTGGCCAGTGAAATCAATTCTCGGGATACTTGCCTTAAAATCCTGTCACCTCTCTGGAGCTCTTTGGCCACCAGGGCCTGTGGCTTCTATTTTCTGACTCTACAGTCCTGGGTCCAAGCAGCCTCTCTGCTCTCATCCTCTCCACATCCCCACCCCTCCCGCATTCCTGCACCTTGGGAGCTCTGCAGCTGATCTCACTTCATGCCACTTCCTGTCAGCCTGCATTACTCAGGCTTAGCAGTAAAAGTGCTTACTGCCAAGCCTGACAAACTGGGTTCAGTCCCTGGGACCCACACACGCAAAGGAAAGGCTCTGCCAGGTTTTACTACGACTGTCACACGCATGCGCGCATGCATACACACACACACACACACACACACACACACACAATCTAAAAATTTTAAAAATAGATAAATATGAAATAGAAACAGGTAAAAGGACTTTTTGTTGTTGTTTCGAGACAGGGTTTCTCTGTGTAGCCCTGGCTGTTCTGGAACCAGCTCTTGTAAGCCAGGCTGGTCTTGAACTCACAGAGATCCGCCTGCCTCTGCCTGGGATTAAAGGTAAAAGGACTTTTATTGGGGCTGGCATTGCAAGAGCAGGGGAGTCACTGAAGCAGAGCATTTCCTAGGCAACTCCCCAAGTAAACCAAACCGCCTGCTCATATCGTTTAGACGAGGGGTGTGCACCGCAGGTACAGTGCTGTCCTCTTAGACCCGCTCAAAGGCGTCTCTGCTGGGTCACCGGGGGACCTGCCACTCCTCTGTCCTGAATGGGATGATTTTAGGGTCACTGGGAGGTCACTCAGGCTTGGGATAGCAAAAGTGCAGCAAAAACTGGAACCATGAGGCTGCCCCCGCAGAAGCTGGAGCTTTAGTAGAGATGGGTGCAAAGATTTCCCAAGGAATCCGCGGACTGCTCAGAACACCTGGTGTGGCGCAGACGTGGCTCTGTTCCACTGCCAGACCTTTCGCCCGCCGCAATCCGGCCAGCAAGGGTGAGCAGAGCTGCTAATCAGAGAGCCCAAGTGCCCACACCCCAGCATCTTTGTTTACAAACCACGAACACGAAGAGTGACTACCACAGGCACAATGATTTTAAACATCTTTAAATGTGTATCTGTGTGAGTATGCGCCATGTGTGGGCAGGTGCTGGAAGACGCCAGCAAAGGGTGTCCGATTCCCTGGAGCGGCAGTTACAGGCAGCAGCAAGTACGACGTGGGTGCCGGGAGCCAACCTGGGTCCTTCGGCAGAGCAGCCAGTGCTCTTAACAGCTGAGCCCTCCAATCTCACCTGAGCTTTAGCAATGGTTACCACCTGCCCAGAGCCCTCGGAAGGGAGGGTCTCGCCTGCTCTACACACAAGCCTCATTAACAAGCTGTGGCCTATTCATCTTGAGTTTAAGTTTATAAATACGACACCTATTTTTACGACACCTAAGGGGCATCCAGGCAGAGAGCATCCTCAGAGAAGAGGAGCATAGCAGCTGCTGCCAGTGGCTTAAAGGTGGCAGCCGAGGCTCTGAATGAGAACTCCGCTACCCTGGGCATGGTGACGCACCAAGGTGGGATGTCTCATGGGTGTGGACCTAGGAAGAGAGGTCCCCAAAGCAAAGCAGCTAGAAGCTACCCTGGGTGACAGGTCTGTGTCTGGCCTCCCTTCTGCACTCAGGGAACGGTGAGTGAAAACAAGGCATTGGGTGTTTCTGATCCCCCAAAGTAGAATGTCTGAAAACTGAACACAGTCTCTCTTATGTATTCATAACTTTTGGTTGGTAGCTTTGT